ATAGTCTCGTTAGACCAAATCTTTCTGGAAGAATACAGTGACGAGTCCTCATTCATATGAAACTGAAACATGAGTTTAGTTTGATGGTTGTATATAAAATTTGGCCATTAAATATCTTCAATTTATCTAAAAATGTAATATGATAGTGACATTATTTGCTATAAAATATAACACTTAAATGCATTAAACACTCTCTAAACATCCAACTATTGCTACCTACTGCAGATATACCGTGTTTTCAATGACATAATTCATTAGGAGTTTTATTATAGTAAATGATATTTTTATTAAAACAAAGTACTGTCCAGTCATTCAGAATTTAATATAGGTATGCATTTTGCATTGGCATAGCACATGATAAAAATTCAGCAATTGACTTCTGTGGTCAAATTACCCCTTCTTCAAATGACCAATGATTTTAAGTTTTATCGAGATAAAAAAGGTAAAAAGATATAATGATCAACACAATGCATGTTTTTTGTTAAGTATCTAAATGAATTTTCTAAAGATTAATTTTGTATAAAGCCCAACTACATTATTTTCCTTTATATATCTACCACTGAAACTGCCAAGCAAGCATGTAAAGCAATCCTAAAGTGATACTGGTAAAAGCAAAGAAGGGAGTACAGAAAAGAGAATAAGGAGCAGGATGTTGGGAAGATTTGCATTTCAACATTTATAATAAAAATATTATGCTACACAAGAAGATTTTAAATAATGCTGTGTTAGACTAGGCTACTGTAACCCATAATTACAGGGTTTTAAGTCAGTCACTGAAATGCTAAGGTAAAGGTGAGAACAGAAAACTTCGAATTTGATGTCCTTTATTCCTAGGTTAGCAACTTGAAATCAAGGTAATGGAATATATTACTTTAGCCCAACCAACAAACTAGAAGCAGCACCAGATTTGCTACTCCTTGCTCCAATTCCAGAGATTTACAGTCTTGCATTTTAAGATTTCCCTATAGACTGTAAAATTTTAAGTTTGATATTGCTTTGATTCCTTAAGTAAATGAATATGTAATATAATACAAAACTTGTAGTCCATAATGGAATGAAAATGAAAAAAAAAACAAAACAAAAAAAAGGCCTAAGAAGTGCGGAACAGACATTCTGGAACATTTGGAGCTGTTTGAAAAAAGAACCAGGAAATTTGGAAGTTTTTGTTTTTCTGTTTTTGGCAAGTATTTTATTAAAATATTCTGATAGAGAAATGAAGAATGTTGTTCTGTTTGTGATCCAAAGGTAAAGTGGTCCATAAAATACAAAAGAATTGTTTCAGATCAAATAACAAAATAAAAAACAAACACTGTTTGTTTATCCATTCCTAGCTAAGAATTCAAATGTTAATAATGTTACAATCTGTCTTCCTCCCTTGGACCCTTTCTGTCTGTCTGCTTATCTGCCTGTCTGGCTTCTTCTCTTTCTACTTTTCTGTACATAAACTGAGCTCAAATTTATTGATATATGGATGTATGGATAATAAGATAATAATAAGATAATAGGGTCCATGTTACAAGCCTGAAAGACTTTTCTGAATGTGATTTGGGGAAGGTGAAATTTGCATTATCTAAGTAAACCACATTATATTTATATATTTTAATAATCTTTAAATATGGTATCAGGAAAACAGATATCAAATCTGTGTGGGTGTGGGTAGTCTTCAATTAAGGAACCTCTGTGTTAAGAGGGAGCTCTGCTAGTGGTTAGGAGTCTGACTGCTAATCTTAAGGTCAACAGTTCGAAATTACCAGCTATTCTATGGCAGAAATGTGAGGCTTTAGGCTACGTCAGAAACCCTACATAGGGTACCTATGAGTCAGAATCGACTCTACTGCATATAACCATAACCACCACTAGTAACCAAGTTTTGCAAGATAATTGCGGACATTTAAGTGAAATCTTCCATAACTTCAAAGAAACTCATTTGCTGAAGTTGTGTATTACTTATACAACCTAACACAGCCAGTCATTTTAAACCCGCGCTGTGGAATAAAGCACTGGACTGCAAGTTCGGTTTGAACCACAAGATCTGCAGTTCAAACTCACCAGCTGCTCCTTGGGAACTATATGCAGAATCGCTATGAGTTGGAATCGACTCACTGGCACTTAACAACAACATGTATTGGTAGGATCAGCACTGGATTGTGAACCACAAGGTTGGCAATTCAAACCTACCAGAAGCTCCTCAGAAAACCTACAGGGTCACTCTGAGCACAACCGAATTGATTGCACTTAAACAACATATGTTTACGAATCGGACTGCGAACCTTAAGGTCAGCGGTTCGAAACTACCAGCCGCTCCGCGGGAGAAAGATGAGGCTTTCTACTCCCGTAAAGATTTACACCCTCGGAAACCCTGTACAGGGTCGCTATGGGTCGGACCCGACTCGATGGCACTCAACAACAACAACAACAACAAACAACATATGTTGGTAGACAGGAAACCCAGTATTATTACTGACATTTTTTCCCACTCAGCCAAATTTTTAAATAATGCAGATAAAGCCTAAAGCTCTTAAGCTATTGTCTTTTTACATTTAAATGGTATATATTATTATAAATTGTATAATAATATGTTATCTTTAAATTGTGCCTATAGCTTTTTGGATTCTATTTGAATTAAATATTTGACTGCCCCTCACTGGAATTAATCTCTTTTCTCCTAATTTTTTTCATTTTTTCTTTATGTAGAACGAACACATTTAATTCTCAGTGGCTTTGTCCTTCCTACAATAACTGCTCTTGGAATTAGATCACAATAGATCTGTAAGGAATCTCAAGAAACCATCTTATTACAAATATTTTGTTGTAAAATTGAGGTGATGGAAGCCTGGAGATATTCACAACCAGACTGAATCAGTTCACTGATTAGTAGAAGACAGAGCTGAAATTAGAAACAAGGCCAATTACTAATCAAAAAGATTATTTCTATTTTACTAAGAAGCTTTCTAATTGTTTTAATTTAGAGTTGTTTAGGATGTGTGTGTTTCAAATTAATATATCATTTTTCTTTTTCTTAAAGAAGTTGACAATATAGTTATTAACACCCTGTAATTTCCTAAAACCTCTTGCATTATACTTTGTGGGAGTATTTTGGAAAAACCAATGTGTATGATATTCTAATGCAACTTACATTAATAGAACACTTGTGTTACAGTATGATTTCTTAAACAATTGTATATTTTAATTATTAAGCCAATATTGATTTAAAGCTTATATGGTAATCGTGAAGCACAAGTCAAGCTATATATTTAAAGTAACAAAACAGAACTAGCTTTCCATCTTTTCCTTAAGTACAGAATCCATTGAGTGAAACACGCTTTAAAAAAATTATTCAATCAGATAGATTGTCCAAACTAGTTAATCAGGTCAAATTGTTCATTTGACTGCTTGCATTACTTGATTTTCCTCTATTCACTAAAGTAACTACTTCAACACCTTCCAGTCTCCCACTCTGAACTGTGGAGACCTGAACTCCAAAGATTCCATAGTCATGAACCCCCAAAATGAAACTTCTGCACACATATAACAGAGTTCATGAGAGAAACCAAATGAATGGCATGTGAAAATTAAGGACTTACCTTATAGTAATCTAGTCATCTTCCCATGATAGAAAATAATCAATACAGTTTTACATTGATTGGATTCCATATGTTTCAAGAATTCTAGTTAAGGAATGCTGTGAGAAACCTGTAGAATTTTGGCATTATTTACTAGGAGCTAATTTACAAAAGCAGTGAGATATGGAAGGAATTAGGGTTTCTTATGTTAGTCTAATTTAACAGTCTAGTAAAAGTAACTAAATCTTAACAGTGGAATAAAAATGTAAATAATTTCCAAAAATATGAATGGAATAAAGTAAACATGTGGTCAACATGCTTCTTCATATTTATCCTTTTTACAGATAATTGTGTAATTTCAATGTAATTACTAAGAAAATCTGAATCTTCAAAGAAAATAAAGATATTAATTTTGTAGATGTTATTACAATAGAAAGTTAATCCATTCCCAGCATTATACATCACGTTAGTATTTATTTATTTAGATGTTTGGATCTTAGCAGTTAGGTTCAACTATAATATGAATGGGACAAACAAAAATTGTACTATTTAAACCTAATTGTAAGGACAGCATGTGATTAAAAAAATGACCTATGGATTCTATACCATCAATAAGCCTTTCATAATCCTATCTTCTATTGCAATAAACTAGATGTTTAGTTAAAAGCAAATACGTCTCATGCAATAGCCAAGTAAATATTACATTTGGCCATTCAGATATGACAAATGATAGTCTAATGGCGTTTTGTTAATTCTGTAAAGATTATATTGCTGAGTGCTTTCAAAATCACCTAATGTACAAAATTCTAGACTTAGTAGACAAAGAGTAACAACACATTGATTTTGAAGAAACAAATCAAACTCAGGGAAGGATTTTGTCTTGTTTTCTTTTGTTTTGTTAAAAACCATGTATTGAATTTAATTTTTAGTAAAGCAAGCATTACATAATGCTTCAAAATTTTAAAATTCAGGGATAAAAGTTTACATCCAAAAAGATGAATGGAAAATTGTGCTTTCAGACTGTAAAGTCAGTTTCATACAGATTCTACCAATTCTTCTTGCCGTTGGATACTGGGAATTTCATCTACGTAATGTATATATGTGCAGTTCATATCCAGGTCCTGCAAAAATCTAAAACTCTGTGCTTCACTTCATGTAGCAAAGGCACCTATGTTATTCTCCCTTTTGAGTACAAGTTATGATCCAGTTTTCCTGCTGAAGATGATATTTCCACTGTTGTGTCACTCACTCTCTCTGTGCTGAGCAGTACAGTAAATCACAAGAGAAAGTGGCGGTGAATCCTGCTTACACTGGAAGAAGTTGCTCTGTGGACCATTTGAAGAAGCTCTGGACTGATCACAAGGGAAACCGAGCAGAACTGTGAAGCAGACGGACAGGAACAAAAGGCTATTCTGGTGTGAGGAGAAATCAGTCATTTCAGCTCCACAAGCAGATGCTGCTACTAGACTGACAAGTGGAGCCTACTCCTGCTGGAGAAAGGTAAAGTTTGCCATTGGGGCAGACACAGAGTTCGTATACTGTCTGTCGAGAACTTGAGGAGCTAGACGAAGACGAAGAGGAGGAGCCGGTCGGTAGATTTCCCAATCGGATAGTGTCTGCATTTAAAAATATCTGGGGGAAAAGAAATTACATTTTAATTTATATTAGCTTTTTACATTCCTCAGAGTTTTACAGCATGGTCTAATAAGAAAAACTAAACAACAAACTATTCTATTGGTTTAGCTGCCATGGTTTGTTGAACAAACAAATTACATTCCTACTGTATAGCCCAAATGCTCTGCAGCTATCGTCTCCCTTGAGACATGGTGCTTTCTAACAGAAAATCCTTCATCTAAAAGACAGTATTGTGCAATCTGCTTAAAGGGCCAATCCAGCTATTCAAGCATCACAGAAAATTGATTTTAACAGAGCATTTCAATTTAGTTTCTCAATTATTTCGAGTCTAAACAATATTTAAAGAAATAAGGATGTTCAAGGAAATGACATTGCTGAAGCAGTAGGCAATTACTAATATTAATTATTATTATTATGACCTATCTATTGTTTCAATGAGAAGTGGCTGTTCAGTGATAGAATTCTTGCTTTCTATGAATAAGCCCCAGGTTTGATTCCCAGCCAATATACCTCATATCCAGTTACCACTACTCTGTCAGTGGAGGCCTTAGTGTCACTATGATGCTCAACAGGTTTCAGTAGCACTTTAAGACTAAGACAGAACATGAAAGAAAGGCCTAGTGTTCTACTTCTGAAAATCAGCCAATGAAAACTCTGTGGATCACAATGGTCAGATCCCACTCAACATGAGATTGCCGTAACTTTGGGCCCACATCCCAACAACAACAACATTGTTTCAATGTTCATGAAAGCATTACAACTTGCAGTCTAATATATATACCAACTAAACAATTTGCATGATTAATGAAAGGTAGTCAGATATAATGCTAAATCTTCTAACGTGTAAAATTGCTTCATTTATTTCAAATCATGGACTGAACACTTTTTGGTACGGTGATCAAATGCTGGTGTCATGTGTGGAGGAAGTTCTATGGAAAGCAAAGATAGATTATACAATTTTTTGAGCAGAGAAGACAGATATTTCTTGATTCTTTTGTCATAGAGCCGATTATTGCTTAAAGGTATCTCTATATTCACATGTACCGTTTCCTACATCTTTGCCCTTCTCCAAGTTCTGTTCATTGCTTGCTGGGACTCTTGCAGTAGTCTCCCACTGTTATTTGTCTTCTTATAGTCTATAGTTGTTTTTTTTTTTTTTTTTTTGGAGTCCTGGTGTGGTGCTGTGGGCTGATGCGTCAGACTGCAAAGTCATTTGAACTGCAAGGTCTGTGGTTCAAGCTCACCAGCTACTCCTTGGAAACCCTATACAGGGTCGCTATGGGTTGCAATCAACTCGACAGCACTTAACAACAACAATAGTCTATTTTACATATGTGTTGAGTGAACTTTTGGAAAGTACAAGTCAAATCATATAAATCTCTGTTCAGCACTCTCTAATGCTCTCCCTACACATTTAGAATTTTTATATACGTTCTGAAATTTTGTGTCTATTCATATATATTTCAAATTAATTAGCTTTACTCAGATTTGTACTAAAAATTCACTTTCTCAAAATGCACGTTCCTGACTTTTCTCTATCCACAGTAGCCCTAATCCATGAATTTCTGATTAGCAGTTTTACACTCACTTCCTAACATTACCTGAAGTATGCTGTTGACTTCTATAATTTGCCAATAAGATACACGAGGATTGTGCATGTTGTTTTTCACACCTTTGGAACCAGACATAGAACTGTGCCAGTACATGTTAGCTAAATTAACGAATCCTTCCTTAACTTGGTTATGTTTCTCCATTCTAGGGTACAATTGTTACCCCCAATCAAGACCCAGTTTATCTACTTTCTCATATGTGGAATTTTCCTGATGCTCCAAGCTCAAAGCACACTTGTCAATTGTTGTTTTTATTGTTGTTAAGTGCTATCAAGTGTGTTTCAACTCATAGTGACTTTCTGTAGGGATTCCAAGGAGAGGCTGGTGGGTTTGGATTGTCTACTTTGTGGTTAGCAATCCAGGGCTTATCCTACAATGCCACACAAGGTCTCCGCTTCCTAGTTGTTGTTGTTGTTGTTGTTAAGTGCTGTTGAGTCAGTTTTACATATGACTATGGGTCTGACCCATAGCGGCTCTATATAGGGTTTCCAAGGAGCAGCTGTTGAGTTTGAACCACCAATCTTGTAGTCAAACAACTTTTCAGTCCAGCATATTAACCCACAGTGCCACACCAAGACTCTCTTCATAGTTAGTCCTCCCTAAATAAGTTATGGAGTCCTGATGTGGCATTTCAGGATAATGCGTTGGATTGCAAGGTTGTTTGAACTGCAAAGTTGGTGGCTCAAACTCACCAGCTGCTCCTTGGCAACTAGACAGCATTGCTATGAGTCAGAAACATCTTGATGGTACTTAACAACAATAACAAAAAAGGTATTATTTTAAATATCTTACTGTGACACTCGTCTGTCAGTTTGGCATACTGTGGTGGCTTGCATGCTGCTGTGATGCTGGAAGCGATGCCACCGGGATTTTGAATGCCGGAAAGGTAACCCATGACAGGTTTCAGCTGAGCTTCCAGGCTAAGACAGACTAGGTAGAAGGAAAGGTGGACTACTTCTGAATGTTTAGCCACTGAAAACCTTATGAATAGCAGTGGAACACTGTCAGGTGGCACAATAATATTGACTACAGAAACATGATGTACAGCACCAGAACATAGTCAGATATAGTGCCAGAAGATGAACTCTTCAGATTGGAAGGCACTCAAAATATGACTGGGGAAAAGCTGTCTCCTCAAGGTAGAGTTGACAAATATGGCATAAATGGAGTAAAGCTTTTGGGAAATTTCATTTCATTTGCAATAGAACACAACTCAAAATGAGGAGCAATAGCTGTAAACATCCATTATATCAGAGTTGGTATAGTGGAGAGTCAGTGAAAAAGAGAGAGATGCTTAATGAGATAGATTGGCACAGTAGCAGCGGTAATGGACTCCAGTCTAGCAACAATTGTGAGGTTGGCACAGTACCATGTAGTATTTCATTAAGCTGTGCTTAAGTTTTATGAGTTGGAACCGACTCTATAGCATCGAACAATAACAACATTCTGATGATGCTATATGCTATTTTATAGTCATATTGATATCTTAATTTTACTACTAAATAATGTGTTTCCTAAATATGGAACTAGGCTCACTGTTTTTAAAAACATCCTAGTGTTGGACCCACTACAAGCGCCATACACAATACAAATATTTGTTGGATTGTATACACATAGTTTAAATAGTTGTTTGATAGATAAATAATTATAAAATTAATGAGTAGCTATATTTGTCAAATATTGAAAGTTAAAGTATTAAAGTTTGTATTTGTATATTTTCCCATATTTACTCCTGGACTACATAATAGGAAAGCAAAGAGAAAGAAAATGCCTTTTTTTTTTTTAAATAAACAATTTTTTCCCCCTTGATATGAAAGGACAAAAAAATAAGTTAGAATAAACAAGACCTTGACAAAGAGAACATGGTATATTCTTGGTTTGAGAATGAACATTAAGTCATGCTGTTAATAGGGCTGTTAGATATGAAGGTAGCCATGGCATCATAGTGGTTAAGTGCTCAGCTGCTTATCAAACTGTCCATGGTTCAAATCTCCAAGTCGTTCCACGGGAGAAAGATGTGCCAGTCTGTTTCCATAAATACTCAATGATAGCAGTTTCTTGTTTTGTTTTGTTTTATATTGATCCCTTCAAACTTAAACCTTCTTGAGCCTTTCCAGGTTTCTGTAGCATGTATGGACTTACCATTATCTAAATGCCTGGCTAAGGCAGTTATGATATTATCCACCTTTCAACTTCTAAAACTGACATTTCTCTTCTACATTGTCCTATAATGCATGTAATCTACTGATTACAAACCTCTTTCATGTTCTCAGAATATCTCTTAAGCATTTAAGTCACAGTCCAATTACACCTCTCTACCAAGGTGTCTTTTATCACATTCTTGCCTTTTGAAATCAGATATCTTAGAAAATCAAAATCCATTTTCTCAATCAGCATGGCTTTCTCCTTCTGATAAACTGGAACATACAAGGAGGCTTCAGAAAGTTCATGGAAAAATTAAATTGAGAGACAATAAAATCTTGTCCATGAACTTTTTGAAGCCCCCTTGTATGTGTTATTATAACACTTACATTGTTGTTCTTGTTATGTGCCGTGGAGTCGGTTCCGACTCACAGCGACCCTGTACAGGGTTTCCAAGGCTGCAAATCTTTACAGGAGCAGAGACCCTCACCTTTCTCCGACGGAACAGCTGGTAGTTTGGAACTGCTGACCCTGAGGTTCACAGCCTGATTCGTAACCACTATGTTACCACTCCTTTACATATTCTACCCATAATTATAAAATTACGTTATCTTCCCAGATAAATTTGAAATGAAATTCCTTAAACCTTCTGTAGTGCAGACTTTTGTGTACAATTTCATTATGCATTCCATCCATTCTTTTGGATATCACAGAGTCTTTTCTGCTTTGGCATTAACTATCTTAAAAACTAAAGGGAGAGATTTTATGTTATCTGCCTTTCCGTAACATAGTCAATTTAGCAGATAGAAAGATTATCTCCATAAGAAAATTTCATGAAATTTTAATCTAATATAAAATGATGGGCTCTTATGTACTTTTATTTAATATATAAACAATGATCAAAACTGAACCTCTGTATACAGTCTACATCATAATTCTCATTTGGCAAGTAAATGTAATTCTGTAATTGAATCAAAGGAATTTACTGATGTGCTGAATAAGAAAATATAGCCCACCTACTCCCATCAAGTAGATTCCAACTCATAGTGCCCTTAAACAGGGTTTCCAAGACTGTAAATGATTACAGGAGCAGAAGATTTCATCTTTCTCCTTCAGAGTGACTGGTGTGTTTGAACTGCCAACCTTTTGATTATTCTACAGGGCCACCAGAACTTTAGAAAATATAAGTAGTTTATAAACAGGAACACAACAGAGATTAATATTCACCCATATTTAACATAAGATATCCATTAGGAATCATTTGAGTGAAAATATCAGCATAATAAAATACACTTTAAAAATAAAATGCAATAGATTTAAAAGAAATTTCTGTCTTGTGGTAGTAGACAAAGAATTACATTTTGTAACTGTCATGAAAAGAAATCTTAAAAAGATACATGAATGCATATTTAAAATATTATAAATTATAATCGTAGGTCACTTGTTCATAATGGGGAACACAGTGACTCTGTAGGATAAGCACTGCACTGTGAACCATGACGTTAACATTTAGAGCCCACCAGCTGCTTCACAGAAGAAAGATAAGGCTTTCTGCTCTAACAAAGATATACAGCCCCATAAACCATACGCAGGTTTGCTATGAGTTGGAACTGACTTTACGGTAACAAAAAGTCATAATATTCACTGAGACCTTTCCCTAACATTGTCTTTCTAGTAAGTCCATTTAATTAAAAAAAAAAAATAGGAATTTAGATGCGGTTGACTTCCGAATGAAATCCTTTCAAGTTGAATGTAAACTGAGCTTTTTTACTAAATAAATCAATATTAGGGTTAACAAACATAATATTAAAGAACTAATATTATCATAAGATAAGCCATTTCATGAAGCATCTTTCTGTCTATGCTTTCCCTGGATCTTGTAGTTATTGTTAAGTGCCATCAAGTCAGTTCCAATTCATAGTGACCCTGTACAGGGTTTCCGAGGAGTGACTGGTGAGTTTTTTGTTTTGTTTTGTTTTGATGAACCCTTTACTATAGAGACAGACTGAAATCTCTTTTGCATAAAGACTCTCTGGACTGGGTCAGGGAAATCCACTGGATAAAAGTCACCATGGAGCAACTCCTGCCTCTGCCTCCCGGAAACCCTCACTAGGGTCACCGGAGATAATAGAGGCTGCTGTCCCTAAGGCCAGGCTGGTTGGATGGGGCCATGTTGGCCGAAGCGTCAGGGTTTCTGGCTACCTGGCAGGTCACAGACTCTCTGTATCCCGCCCCAGTCGGTTGTCCAGGATCTGAAGCTGTCAGAGGAAGCCTGAGTTGAGGTAGATATCGTGGTGGGCCTGCACCGCCTTAATGGCCTCTACCAGCGTCCCGTTCTCGCAGATCATGAGGAAGGCCAGGACAAGTGTGGCAGAGCGGCTCACCTCATGGTGCAATGGACCAGCACTCGGCCTTGGGGAACACTGAGGGCTGTTCGGATGTATCGAGCAACAGGCCTAAAGTAGATACTGAGGTCAAAGAAAGGGTTGTCATCAGCCTCAATGCCCTAGTACTCCAATGACATCCTACCATAGAACTTGGTGCCTGTGTCCACTTGAAACTTGCTCGCAGAAGCATTCACAATGTAAATGCCAGCTTGGATCAGCTTGTTCTTGACCTTGTGATTCAAACCGACATTGCAGTCCAGCACATTAAATCGCAGCACCACGGTAGAGGCAAAATGTATACTTAAAATTTATCTTACATAAGTAACTGAGGTAATATGAGGTAAGAGAATAACACTGTACTTATGACTCTATTAATATATGTCTTCATCTTCATATCTAAATTGTCATGGAAGATTTCAGAAATACTGTGTTAAATCATTCATTTTTTTTTTCTTTTTAACTTGATATTGGTGATCTCATAATTTTAAAAATAAACACATGAAGAAAGGAAATACTAAAGGAATAAATCCGAAAACACACAGAAGGTAATATGTATTATGTATAAGGATTTTAAATAATTGACATAGTATTTTTTTAAAAGCAAGCAACAAAAGAGTAACTACCAAGAAGGTATTTGAAAAGAAATAGATAAGAACCCTAAAATGAAAAACTTTAATAAATAAATAAACTAAGTGATGCAAGGAGATAAAGGGATAAAAAATATGAAGGAGGGAGCTATATGGAGGTGGTTGTGACAGTTGTAGGCCATGGCATTGGTTCCAACTCATAGCGACCCTGTATAGGGTTTCCAAGGATGTAAATCTTTATGGGAACAGAAAATCCCATCTTCTCCCAGAAGAGCAAATAATAAATTTAAACTCCTGACCTTGTGATTAGCAGCACAATTCATAACCCACTATGTTCCCAGAACTCCTTGATTTGAAGCATAAGAGAATGAAAATGCTTGACATTTTCTCAGAGAAACACCTTAGAGAAAGTGAGAGAGGTAATATCTGAAGATAAAATACTAAAGAATTTCCAGATTTGACAAAAATAACAATCTGTAGACACAGCAAGCACAATATATATTGCAAGCCAATACATAGTATACCATAGTTAAAAAATTGAGCACCAAAACCAAAGGGATCTTTCAAGAAGTTAAAGAGGAAAAAACAGATGATCTTCAAAGTAATGCTAACAAGACTTAAGGAGCTACTTAAGAGAGAAAGTGACAGTAAGTTAAATATTAACTGTATCTCCTACATAATTTTGATTGAGGTAAATAGCAAAATTAATTTTATTTTCTTTTTATAAAAATATAGATACTGTTCTACAGAAAAGAATTTTTTGAAGACCAAAATAGACCTAAGAAGACAAATATTGCCTTTAATATTAACATACCTTGGTAGTAATTATGTTTATCTATCAGTTTTGAAATTACAGCAATTTAGATGTGGTTGGTTTGTTAATAGATATCTTTCAAGTAGAATTTAAAAGGAGCTTTGTCTTAAAAAGTCACACTGGTGGTGGTGGTGATAGTGTGTTGTGGAGTTGGTTCCTACTCATAGCATTTCTGTATAGGGTTTCCAAAGTTGTAAATCTTTACAGGAGCAGAAAGTCTCATCTTTCTCCCTCGGGATGGCTGGTAGTTTCAAAATGCTGACCTTGAGTTTACCAGCCCAACTCATAACCACAACAATACCAGAGCTCCTTAAAAAGTAACACTAAGGTTACCAAACTTAATATTCAAGATAGCTAGTATTATAAGTAAAACCATTTCACAGAACAACTCTCTATGTTGTCCCTGGAACTGTAAGCATGTAGTTTGGTGAGAAGCAAGGTCCTTATCCCTTTACTCACCTCCCCTTCTGTTGACTGTAAATGGAGCTCCTTTCTGCAGGTGGCCTTGAAGTCCCCTGCAGCAGCACTCACCTGTACCCCTCGAGGTGCCTCCATTATCAAGGATCGAGTTGGTGATTCAAGCCTGGCGATAAACAAAAGGATCCTTAATAGAAAAGATAATATATTATGATGAATTAAAAGATAACGTTTAGTCAATGAAAGGAAAAACAGCCGGCCTAATTAAGTCTTATTTTTTTCATGAAAATGAGTTTTAGCATGATTTTTTAATTGCCTTATCAATTTTTTCTCTTTATTAAACACTTCATTTGTTGACATCAATTATTTACTCTCATTTTTATAATGATATACTAATCATGTTTTATGTTATTTCCATTTATACTGTACATGGTAAGTTGGTTGTGATAAGTATACTTGTTTAAATATTTTATACACAATCAATATTAATGACGGAGCTTTAATAAATAAATTAGTGTAAACTTAGCCCATAAATATTCCTCAATAAAGAGTCCATGTCTTGCAAAGATATGAGGACTTTAATGAAATCATTAATATTGCAAAATTTAAGCTTGTGTGGGCAAAATTTTATAAACTTGAAATTTTTCAAAGTACTCATTAAACCTCTAGACATTAATTTAAATGAATAAATAAGACACTTCCTACATCAACTGACCTCTACTGGTCCAATGAAATGTGCCAGAATCAATGACTTTAGTCAGACACAGAGAAACAAAGAAGGATGAGGTAATTAAAATAGTCATTACTTAAAATTTTGAGTAAAAGAAATGAAGTCTATTAGATAACAGTTCGGTATCAAAAAATATATATAATAATAATAATTAAGAGATAGTTTGGAAACTTAGCTTCAAATATAAAACTAGAGAAAAGAAGAAATGAAGACAGAATACAGAAATTATACGACAGTGTAAAACACACTATATGAGAAAAGAAGAAATACCCATGAGTCAATCTTCTAGGGTAAGTGCTCAGCTTTGGGATTGTAGCTGTCCCTGTTCCTTTGGAGCCCATGCAATTAGGACAAGGGTTGCCACATTTATCCTAATGAATAGTAACTGGATTCCTTTGTGACAATAGATTCAAAGTTGTTTTTTAGAGATAGTCACATCAAATAGATTCCTTCTGAGTAGTGAAATCAAAATTTAAAAACCTAAAAGAGATATTGAAGAAGAAGAACTAGCATCTAGAGGAAGTGATCTCAATGTTTTCAAATGGTTTCCCTTTCTTGCCAAAGTAAGTTGGACATTTTCATCTCTATGGTGCTCTAACATACATTCATACAATCTCCGAACTGCTCAAGATATTGGAAGTGAAGTTAAGTCAGGAAGTATTGCTATAACACAAAGAAGTCATAATTAAACAAAAATATCAAGACTACTTATTACCAATAAACAGCATTCTTATCAGTGGAGAAGAGATTGAAGTTGTCAAGGACTTCATTCTTCTTGGATCAACTGTCAACACTCACAGAAGCAGCGGTCAAGAGATCAGATGACGTATTGCATTGGGCAAATCTGCTGCACAGGAACTTTTTAAAGTACTGAAGAGCAGAGATGTCAGCTTGAGGACTAAGGTGCGCCTGACCCAAGCCTTGGTATTTTCAATAACCTCATATGGATGCGAAAACTAGACAGTGAATAAGGAAGATCGTAGAAGAATTGATGCCTTTGAGTTGTGGTGTTGGAGGAGAATACTGAAAGTGCCATGGACTGCCAAAAGAACCAATAGATCTGTTTGGGAAGAAGTGCAGCGAGTGCTCCTTGGAGGCCAGGATGGCTAAGCTTCATCTCTCATACTTTAGACATATTGTCCGGAGGAAACAGTTGATGGAGAAGGATGTCATGCTGGGTAAGGTGGAGAGTCAGAGAAAAAGAGGAAGACCCCAACGAGATGGATCAGTCAGGTAGCATCATTGATGGCGTCAAGTGTGGCAGCGGTAGTGAGTTTGGCCCAGGATCGGACATTGTTTTGTTCTGCTGTGCATGGGGTAGCTATGAGTCGGTTCCGACTCGATGGCACCTGACAACAGCAACAGCAACAACTTATTTATTTATTTTACATTTTCTCCATACAGGTCTATACACTTCTGAAGGTGGTGTTTCCCTCTTTCTGACTCTTTCCTGAAGAATTCTGGTCTCTTCAATTTACACCATGTCTGAATGGCAGTTTTGGCATTTGAAAGGGACACAATCGTGTTCATTTGAAATGTTCTTTGAATTTGGAGAACCAAAAGAAGTGTGAAGGGGCAGGATCAGGACAATAGGGTGGATGAGGTAAGGTTTCCAAACTAAATTCTCATAGTACAATACATGCAATTCTCAAAAACAAGCAGGATCCAGAGAAGCAGAGACATCAGAGATGGAGGCAGAGATGATGACATGGAGAGATAGGGCAACTGAGGACTCTAGACTCGAGGAAAGAGAAAGATTGTGTGCTGGCAGACAGGAAGCAGACTTGCAGAATATGTCCCTTGGTTGTTTAAATGATTATATATTCTTGAGTGTTTTTGTGTACATACAAAAACAAAACAAAACAAAACAAAAAAACAGGGGATAGAAGCAAATCCTGTTGAATGATGATGCATGGAGAAGATTGTAATCTTTACAATGAAATAATGAGTGTAAAACCGATGTTCTCCCATGTAAACTATGGCTCAATTCACAATAAAAACTTAAAAACAAAACACCAAGCAGGTACATTGTCGTTATGGAAAACAAATTCTTGATGCACCTTCTGTTTTTGTTTTGTTTTTTTCCAAACCAAAAAAAGGTAATTAAGAGATCATTTCAAAATGATCTTCAAATATAAAACTAGAGGAAAGAGCAAATGAAAACAGAAAACAGAAACTAGGCTAAAATGGAAAACACATTGTATGAAAGAACAGGAAGTACCCATGAGTCCGTTTTCTTGTGTAAATATTCAGCTTTTCAGTTTTCTTAAAATGTCTTTACAATAATCGTCTTGATATCCTGTGTCCTTTGAGAAAATCTACCAAGATTGTTGTTGTTAGGTGTCCTTGAGTAAGTTCCAACTCAGTGACCTTATATAAAGGAAACACTGCTGGGTCCTATGTATCCTGTGCCAACTGCCACCATGCTTGAACCCATTGCTACTGCCACTGTGCCAACTCATCTCATTGGAAGGTCTTCTTATTTTTTGGCAGCTCTCCACTTTACCAAGCATGAGGTCCTCCAGGGACAAGTTCTTCCTGATAACATGTCCAAAGTATGAGAGATTAAGTATTCTAAGAAACATTCTGGCTGTACTTCTTTCACAAAATCCACTGTACTTTTAATATTCTTTTCCAACACCGTAACTCAAATCCATCAATTCTTCTATTGTCTTCTTTCTTCATTGTCCAACTTTCATATGCATATAAGGCTATTGAAAATATCATTTAACATCTTTGTTTTTGAACATTTAAAGAGGTCTTGTGCAGCAGTCTTGATTTCTTGTCTTCTATTTGCATAAGTGTTGATAATGAATTCAAGCAAAATGAAGTCTTTGACAACTTCAAACTTTTCTCCATTTATCATGCTGTTATTTATTGGCCCAGTGGTGAAGATGTTTCTTTTCTTTATATTGAGGTGCAACCCATACTGAAGGCTGTGGTCTTTGATCTTCATCAGTGAGTATATTAAGTCCTCTTCACTTTCAGCAGGCGAGGTTGCAAATCACAGATTGTTAGCGAGACTTCCTCCAATCCTGATGCCACGTTCTTCAAATAATCCAGCTTCTCAGATTATTTGCTCAGCACACAGATTGAATAAGTATCGTGAAAGAGCACACTTTTCTGATTTTAAATCATACAGTGTCCCCTTGTTCTGTTTGTACAACTGTTTTTTGGTATATGTACAGGTTCCTAATGACTACGTTAAATTAAGTCTCTTGGTATACCCATTCTTTGTAATGGTATCTATAGCTTGTCATAATCCACATAATTGAAAGCCTTTGCATAATCAGTGAAACACAATTAACCATCTTTCTGGTATTCTCTGCTTTCAGCCAAGATTCATTTGAAGCCAGTAATGCAATCCTATCTGAATCTGGCTTGAAATTCTGACCGTCCACTGCCCAAGTACTGTTGCAGCAGTTTTTGAATTATCTTCAGCAAAATTGTACTCACATATAATATTAATTATAGTGTTTGAAGATTTCCAAATTCTGTTGAGTTCACCTCTCTTTGGAATGGGCATAAATATGCATCTCTTCCAATTAGTTGTCCAGGTAACTGTCTTCCAAATTTCTTGGTATAGATGAATGAGTGCCTCCAATGCAGCATCAATTTCGTTGAAAGATTTCAATTTGTCTTTGATCAATTACTGGAACCTTGTTCTTTACCAATGCCTTAAGTGCACCTTGGACTTCTGCCTTCTCCCAAGATTACTCATTTAGAATCTCTGCAAAAAAAAACAAAAACAAAACAAAACAACAACAAAAAAAAACAAAACAGTTTCCATAACCTTCTGAGCTGACTTCTTTGCCTTGAATTTAACTCATCCATGATGCTGTGGGATAAAACACTGGACTACAAGGCCTGTCTGAGCTCAAGGTTGATGGAACTGAATGGATTGCACTTAACAACAGTGACAACAGATCCCCATAGAAGACACTGTTTTGATTAGGTCTTGCTCTCTAAATTGTATTGTCCCTGGTTATAATTCAGTCCATAATATTATCTTCATTAACTTCGATCTTGCTGGAAAGACTGATGGAAATGTCAGCTCTTTGAGCTATCATATCTTTGTGCAACACTTTTGGCTGAGTCCCGGCTGTTCACTTAAAATTGAAAATAACTAATTGCATGAGATCCCAACTTCTATCAGTAGCCATACTATGTGTTCTTCTATCAGCTTTTGGACTTTCACCAGAGTTTTTTATTATTATTATTATTTGTTGACGATGATGGTCTTGGTTAGTCTTTGAAGTCTTCCAAACCTTCCTTAAAATTCTTGATCCATCTAAAAACTGCTGTTTTATGTGGGGAAGCATTCTTGTAAACTTGTTGTAAAGCTTCAGTGATGTTAGTTTTGTTAAAAATGGGATATTAGCCCTGACCTCAAAATCATTTTCCTTTGCACAAAGAGTATCTCTTTTTTTCAGGGC